GAGCCACGAATTACACATATAATGTTTGTCAATTTAAAAGATAATTTTACGAGTAAAAAAAAAAAAAATGTGTCGTAACACATTGTTTTGTGTGAAACCGCTCAATGAACTACATCTCCCGTCTCGCACCACTCACCAAGATGGCCGTCACGTTGAAACATTTCACTTCTTTCTTTCAGAATGAGGCGGAAAGTATTAAAAGAGGTGAAAATCACTTCAAGTCTGGGCATGTTGAGAGCTGTACATACACACAAGGGGAGTTAGTCGGTTCCGTGAGAGCCAGCATGCGGGACCGGGACTCTGGGATTTGTAGTCTTTCTAGTTGCGTATTTTTCATAGTCTTATATTTCAACAGTTTTACGACAAACTGACTTTTTTGACATGGAAATTATTATTTAAGATTGACAAACATCATATGTGTAATTCGTGGCACAATTCAAACGGGACCGAAAGATATGTTTCTCTCTCCATTGACTTCAATACGTAACTTTTCCGAAATAAGGTACCATGGGTCGGAAGTAGATGGGCGGGGCTTCGCCTCTATATGACAGGAACCACTAATAAAAACTACAACGGCAGAAAACTAGGAGTAATAAAGTCATGAAAGGCTTTTCTATTGAGTGGGAATCTGTGTTCAAAATATGGGTTTTCTTTATATTTCCTGTCCTTTTTTGTTTTGTACGAGAATCCCTTTTCTAACGCATGTACATCCAGCATATGTGCGTAACAGGAAGCACTTGTAAAAACTTCAAACAGGGATTAAATGAAGTGATGAAAGGCTGTCTGCGTTAATCTGGTGTGAAACAGTTTACGACAGCGGGACAAATAAATAATTTCCACTGCAGACGTTTCACTTTGAATTACTCAATTTAACAACTAACACGCTTTTGAGTCTGTAAAACGTGCCTCGCCGTGCGGTGCACTTCACGGTTTTTTACAGGCGCTAATTCTGCTTTTAATCTTTTACAAGCAGCGGAGGGAAAGAGCACTCAACTCAAATCCCCCAGACATGTCGAGGTGCTTTAGAAAGGGTTATTTCCATCAAATGAACACAAACAAATACATTAAAGAACGAAATCTCTTGATTATTTTTAGACGTTTAAGCGGACAGTGTGCATCCTCAGAAATGCTTAGAGCTGCAACAGTTATTAAATTCATTCTTCACGCCCCAAAAAACATCTTTAAATGGTTATAAATCTGGAGTTTAAACATTTTGTATAACATTTTGTCAACAAGAGAGACGCTGGGAAAAAAGGGTCATGATCGAGAATACATTTTTTTTAAATCCCTAATTATCAATTTTTTGCATGAAAAGGGAAGAAATGCGTCTTTAATTTGCAATTTAAAATGTGCTTTAAAAATAAATAAAGTAAATGTATCTACATATAAGATTAGAAAGAGGGGCAGTAAGTCAAAGGTAAAATAAAAAGTGAAAAACTGGTTCCTGGTGGCCATCCGTAATATTTAAAATATTTCTCTGCGGATGTTTTTCTCAGCAAGGTGGTCATTACACATTTTGCACCCTAAATGTTGAAATACTTCTCCACAATGAGAGGGCAGGGATGTTTGTTTGCAGCCTGCAATTCTACTAACCAGTTTAACTACTTTTAAAGTCTTTGTCCGGCTTCAGACGCTCTGATATTTCAGATAGTTTCCCATCCCGCCCGCTCCGACCTGCCGCTCACCCCGCCTGCAGCCGCTTCTATAAATAACTTATTCTTCTTCTTCTTCCCAAGTGAAACCCGGCAGTTAAACTGTGAAATGTGAATTTCTCACAGCCGGAGGCCACTTCTTCCCTTTGATAATCCAACAGCACGAAACACGAGAAGTCGGTGTGAAACAGACATTACATGAAGGGAAAGTCCATAACTTTAACCAGGTTTCTACAACTTGTTCATTCAGTCTCCCCTTTGGAGGTCAAAATAAGCCGTGGAACATATCAAAATGTAAAACTTTTTTTTTTTTTTAATTGTTGGAAGTTATTTAGCAGATTGGCGTTCAAAGTCTACGCGCTGTTCGGCTAACGCTAACGTTAGCTCAGCTTGTTTCTCTGAGAACTTCAGATCCAGACCTATACAGTCTATGTTCCAGACGTGTAGGAAGATTTAACTGGAGGCAAATGTTATGTAAGAATTAGCATCCTCTTCAAATCAAACAGACCTGCTGATTAAAACCATACTTGTCAACCCTCCCGATTTTCGCGGGAGACTCCCGATTTCATTGCCCTCTCCCGGTTTCCTCCCGGGGTCATATTTCTCCCGCATTTCTCCCGATTTCTGACAAAATCAGATTTACACACGACTGTTTCCACTCGGACTTTAATACAGCTACACCATTGTTTGGTTTCCATGGTAACACGTCTCTTTAGTAAAGCGCGCAACTCAAAGTCTGAGAGGGTGAGGCAGATATTCACAGAAAACAGAACAAGAATCGACAACTGCTCTACTCTCTGCTCACTCCTTTCCTGTAAAATACAGGTCCAGCCCACACATATGCTCCATAAAGGACGGTGCTACAGGCCGCAAGGCAGTGCACTTACAACTACAATAAGCATGTTAATCTAACAGCTCCGGTGATTTTGCATTTTGAAATGCTCCCGATTTCTGAGGTCTAAAGGTTGGCAAGTATGATTAAAACACTGACTAAAGCAGTCTTATGGTAAAAATCTGTGTTTCTCCAGAGGGGCTACGAGCTAAAGGCTAACACTCTGTCATCTTGTTTCTGATTTCCCAACATGCACACAACTTTTAGAAGAGGCTGAATTATCCTAAAAACTTGCCTTGTCTCTAAAATGAATGACTCGATGAGTAGAAGAGTAGAAAAACACTGAATAAATCAGTTTCATGTTAAAAATCAGTGTTTCTCCAGTGGACAGCACGGCTACGAGCTAAAGGCTAATGTTAGCTTTCTCTGATCAGTTCAGATCCAGATGTCCCAACACTAAACTCCTTCATCTGGTTAAAAAAGCAGCAGAAACATTTAAAATGTGGCTTAAAACTGGTCCATATATGACAGCTTCTTGCAGTCAGCATACACTCAAAGGGGATACGACAGCTTCACAGAAATTAACGATTTATGGCATCCTACTTCCCAAGGATTTGAATTTCAAGACATAAGACCAATTATGGCCCTTATTCCAAGGTAAACTAAGAACAGAAGAGCCTTACTTAACCGTTTTTGATTCAATGCCTTTCAAGACTTTTCCCTACAGGATCAGACAGTAGAGTTGTTTCATTAAAAGTCATATCGCTTCAGCTTTTTTGTGAGTGTGTACCTGAGTGTGTTTCCGCAGGCTCTGATGAGCTGCACGATCTCCTTGTGCCGAAATCCCTCCACCGTCTCCTCGTTCACACTGGAGATGGTGTCCCCTGCACACACACACCACACACACACACACACACACGGTCAGCATGCACTTCTTTTACTGCTGCAGGATTGATTGATTGCATGAAACGTCAACATGTGCAGCACAAATGTGAAGACGTGGCTGATTAATGAACTGCAGCAGCCACGTGTGTGTGTGTGTGTGTGTGTGTGTGTGTGTGTGTGTGTGTGTGTGTGTGTGTGTGTGTGTGTGTGTGTGTGTGTATTTATATATATGTGGTGTGAACTCTGATGTCTTTGTGAGGTTTCTGCACAAAGCTTTTATTCTGCTCTTTCAAAACCCACCGCCATGTGATGCAGTCAGAGAGCCGTGAGGACACTTGGTGAGGAATGTAGGAAGTGCAACTGAAGGTCTGAATGGAGGAAGAGGAGCAGGGTCCTCTTCCTCCTTTAGTGACGGAGACGTTAGACTGAGGTCAACGAGGTTAAAACCAGAGACAGTGTATAGACCGCTGACGTGCTCAATAACACGTCGATGCCCAGCCTCAGATTCTCAGTGTGAGAAGTCATCACCAGACAAAAGGAGAACAGAAACGTAAACCTAATTTTAGGTTTTAGGTCATCTGAATAACTCTTATTTTTGCGACTGTAAGGAAATACAGTTCTGAGTATCCTGGCAAGACAGTATTGATTTTAAGATGCTGCCTTTTGATCATGTCCGCACATCAAGACAGGGAAGTTTTTAGCTATTTTAACGTTGTTTAAAGCCACTTTTTGCACCCATCACTAAGCAGGGGACAGAATCAATCATCCTGGCCTTAACATTATTGCATCCGGATAATAATCAAAAAATGCTTAAAACTCTTAAAGAGACACTAAAAGCATACTTTGTTTGCGCTGCATCCCAGATACTTTGTCCCACTGCTTAAAATAAAAACACCTGATGCAGGTTTGTTCTTATTTGACAGGATAGTTTGAGTTTGAGTGGGATCATGTCTTCACTACAATGACAGCAAGTTGGAGAGCAATTTGTAAAAGCATTCACAATCCCTCTGGAGTGAAGAAGTAACCTATAAGTACTTCATATCAACAGACGAGCTGCGGTGGAGCAGAAGTTACGTAACACTATAAAAAAGGACTTAAGCAAAGTACATTAACCTTAAAATTAGACTCAGTGCTTTACTTAGTGAGCGAGTCTTTTGAGTGTGTGTTCGAAGCATTACGTGTTGAAATGCTATGTTTGATCATATAAAACCCGTCGCAGCAAGTTCGTGAATGTCATGCCTCAGTAAGCGCTCCATTGTATTGGTCACACCGATACACGAGACACAATCAAAAGAAGAACGGATCTAAAAAGGTGAAGGAACTTGTGAAATATGTCCTCTTTTTAAAACCTGGCCGTCACATTTTCCAAAACAGACGAGTGACGTTTGCCAAATAAAAATATCACTTCCTCTAAAACCGAGCGGTTGTGTTTGCTCTTCTGTTTTTGGCACTTTGGTGAGAGGAGGTGTCAGAGAGGTGTCGTCTGGAAATACACACACTGAGTCGCTTGTTGGCTGGAAAATGAGAGGGCGTATTTCACACACACACACACACACACACACACACACACACACACACACACACACACACACACACACACACACACACACACACACACACACACACACACACACACACACACACACACACACACTCTCTCTCTCTCTCCCCCACACACACACACACACACACACACACACACACACACACACACACACACACACACACACACACACTTTAGGCTTTCATCACAGAAACTCACCGACTTTAAGTCCCGCCTCCTGCGCCGGGCTGTCCTCGTGCACTTTGCACACAAACGTGCACATCTCCACCGAGTTCTGGTCCTCATGGTGCAGCCCGTACGTCTGAGGAGAGACAACACACACTCTTTATTAAGGCTTTCTTCTGCTGCAACATTTCATTTAACTTCACAGGGAGAGCGCTGTCAAGTTATTCACGAGTTATCAACACATTACATCACGTGGTGTCACCTGTGAGACGCTTTTACCCAAACACACAGCAGCGACATGCCAACTGTCCTCCCTTTTGACTATTCAAGTTCCAAGGCTTTTTTGTCATTAGTACGGCAGCCACGGTGTAGATATGTTGATGAAAAACTGAAGTCACAGGCTCCTTCAACAGAGCAACATATAACAAATAAAACAGTGCAAGGAAATAGAAATATTGCACGAAGAGTCTATAAGTAAATTGAGAGACTATTTCTGTACCGCAGCACCTCGACAGATGAGGTAAAGTCCCCCTAAAACAACTTAAAGAGGACATCATTATAATCGAAGATGCCAATATTTTGAATGCAGGACTTCTACTTTAATGAGGGGTTTTTCTAAAACTTTATTTTTGCCATTTTTACTCAGAGATCTGAGCACTTCTTCCTCCTCTGATAAATATGTCCGTGGAGTTTTATGGCTTTGTTTCTATTTCTGATTGGATGTTCCCGCCCTTCCTACAGGAAGTGATGTCACTCTGAGCATCTCCAGTTTGTCCTCTGGTGCCGAGTTCAGGGTCCAGTATGCAAAAAAGGATATTTGCCTGTCAGCTATATTTGCGTGGTTATAAGTTTATCTTGCAGGCGGCCGAGCAGGAAGTGATCTGAATCTTTGCAAATTTTCCGAAACAGTCAAACATGGATGTGAGGTTGTGATACGGTGTGTGTGTGTGTGTGTGTGTGTGTGTGTGTGTGTGTGTGTGTGTGTGTGTGTGTGTGTGTGTGTGTGTGTGTGTGTGTGTGTTCTGCAGATACACTCTGGTGACTGAAAGAAGGAAGAGCGTGCAAACTCATGTGGAAGTAAACAAAAACAGTTTCCAAGGTAACTAAATATCATGTTCACAAATACAGTCTAAAGAAATCAGGTTATCGTTGTCTGATCGAGCAAAGGAGAGAAGTGAGGACTGCTGACTGGAGAGTCAAATATAACTGATAAGAGGCGAGGGTCCAATGCAGGACACACACACACTCTACACACTGTCCAGGTACTCAGAGCGCATAGTGTGTGTTCATGTCTGTTTGAAAAGAGGAAGACTTTGCATGTTTTGCCTCCTCACGTCCGCTGATATGATCTGCACCACTTCCTCTCATTATTCAGGTCTCATGTAATCAGAGTTTCAAAACGGAGTTATTGTGCAAAAAGTATTCCTACAATCTACACCAGTGCTGCTCTGACCTGAACATCAGCAGGAGAGGACTCTTTAAAGTAGAGACACTACATACTGATATACACCTGAACATCAGCAGGAGAGGACTCTTTAAAGTAGAGACACTACATACTGATATACATCTACTATTTAAAGAACGGTGCGTTCGCTGCAGGACGGTCAGACTGTGAACAGGTTTTTAACACGTGAGAAAACAACGCGGCTGAAAATCAAAAACCGCCTGGAGAGAAACAGAGAGTTTCCTCTGGAGTCATGTGACTGCGTGACCTCTGACCCCCAACGCACGGTCGGATTAAAGGATTTCAGGATGAGACGCTTGAGTTTATCACAGAAATCCTGTTAAAAGCACTCCAGAGGTTCCCCCCCCCCCTCTGATAAAACACAGATGCTAATCCTCTCACCTGGATTTCAAAGCCAAACGCCTCCTCCTCTTTCTTCTCCAGCACCACCACCTTCCTGCAAAACAACAAGCAAATCATTTTTATGATATATACGTATATTTTGTGTTTGTTAAAGAAACCCTATTACGCTCTTTGGGAGTGTTCCTGTAGGTTTTGGCGACTCCTTTGTTTACTTCCAGAACATGGTGACATCACTATGGAACACTTGCGCTCTTATTGGCTCCAACACATTGTACATAATAGGCTAAGGGGCGGGACATCTCTAGGCTGTTGACCAATCACAACAGAGCCGGCCAGCTAACCAATCAGAGCAGACTAGGCTCTGGGCTCGCAGGAAATAATACTTTTAAAGTACACAATACTCCCATTTCTTCACGAAAAAGGACAAAAAACAAACGTATTAATCAGTTATTATTCAAGCTGACCTTTATGAAGTGTGTATTTGAATTTCTAACACACATATTTAATAATCTCTTTATTTTATAGCCCACAGGATAAATCTATAATGAGTTAATTGTTAGTATCCCTAAGAACTGAAAGCCCTTTATCCACTGGGTAAAGATGGTGATTGTTGTGCGTTATTCTGTGAGCGAGCCGGTGAATATGTAATCCGTCTTCCTGCCCTTCGCATGAGAGCAGCAGTGTTCCCGCCGTACAGACGCGTACTGTACGTCTGCAGGAAACAGAGCCGCTCTGTGCCGCGCTGAGATATCTGCTTATGAGAGTTAGATAGAGAGGAATCCAGAGCGACGTCTCCTCCGCCTGCGCACAACTCTGAATATCATGAATACTGACGGGCACAGAAAGACGCAAGAGGCTGTCCCACATTTATTTAAGCGATTTCATGATTCAGTCTAAAAGGTTAGAATACTGAGGAATCACTCGTCAAAACATTTTACTGGGGAATCCAGAGGGACGTAAACATCTCCTCTCAAGTAGATCCAAAAAACTCTGCAAGAGGCTAGGTGTCCCGCATGATTTGCTCCATAAAACATCGGGCTGATCAATTCATCGTATTTTAATCGCAATAACGATTTTGGCTTGCAACGATTATGAAAACAACGCGATCGAAATAAAACGATTATTTTTATAAATACTTTTTTTTATTGGTTTTTGAGTTGAATTTTACTTAAAGTTCAGGGTAATCAACTGTTAAAAACACAGTTCACTTTTTTTTTCAATAAATGGGTGTTTTCAAAGTAAATGGATAATCGTTTTGAATAATCGTGATATCAATTATTGACCCAAATAATCGAGATTATGATTTTTGCCATAATCGAGCAGCCCTAATAAAACGGTGAGGAATCAAAATATCCTAGAGCCCATGACGATGTCTATTTATTTGAAACAAATTCTGAGATCCAAGTATTCACTTCATAAAAGTATCAAACAAGAGCAACGTGAAACTAAGAGGCAGAAAAAGCAGAAAGACTATAAATCCCACGGAGCGTTTTATTGATTTTACACATGATTCGATAAAACATCGGAAAACTGTGAGAAAGAAAAGTCCAAATGTCCCAGAGTGATGCATTCAAGTGTCTCCATTTATCTGACAAGTAATCTAAAACCCATACATATTCCCTTCATGATAAAACAGAAGCCCCCGGCCTGCGTATGTCCAATACAACTGTGAATATCATGAGACTCTGAAGCCCACATGTATCTGGTCTTAAAAGTGGAAACTGACGGATGTTACTCACGATTCTCTCCGGATGTGTTATCTGTGATCTAACACCCATAAATATCGACTTCATGATCTTATAGAACTGAGAAAAGCCTCACATTTTAGTTTGAGAAGGTGGGGAATCCAGAGCGCTGTGTGTGTGCGTGCGTGTGTGTGTGCGCGTGTGTGTGTACCTCTGTGGTTCAGGAGCCAGAGTTAATGGTTTCCACTTCTGCAGCCCACCGCCCTGGAGGAGAAAACGAAACATTATTCGAGTGAAACACCTGCGTGACGTTAACCATGACTCATCAGGATTTCCCCCAACACACAAACACACACACACACAAACACACTAACCGGTCCAGCCGGGTAAAACACACACACACGTGTTTGTGTTGCCTGAAGCGTCAGAGAGCAGAGACCTGAAAGTCCAGTCGCGCTGCTCCGTGTTTACTTCACTGTCACAACATTAGGATCAAATTAGCCCCAGTTCACACAGATGATGCCTTCAGGGACTCGCACTAACGATGCCTTCAGGGACTCGCACTAATGACCAGTCTGACACTAAGCACCATTAGGGGAAGTTTGTCAGGAAACCCAGACAGAGGAAGTATCACTGAAGACAAAGTTTAGACTCACGAGCACGCATTACAAAGTCTGTCATGTTTATACACTTTGTTTTGATCCTTACTTCTTTATTCTATTCAAGAGCAACCGTCTCAGTTCCCCCTGTGAGTATTCAAGTATTTCTGATGCTGAAGTCAGAAGGAAATGACTTAATGTTGGGAAGTGTTTTGTCTCAATGGAAACAGATTTCTTTATTCATTAAAAGTTAAAGTAATGTTTGAAGCATAAATCTATTTGAATGCGGTTTTTACAAGTTGTATTTTATAATAACGTGACTGTCTTTTGGGAACTAAGGACATAATATTTCGGGACATTTTATGGACAAAAACATCAATTAATGTAGAAAATAAGCTCCAGGTTAACCCATAAAGAACTGAGTGTAGACCTTAAGACTTCCAGATGTTATTTAATTAAAAAGGACGGAAATATAATCAAGAAAATGTTTTAAAACTCCAACACGTTTGAGTTAACTGGAAACATTTGAAAAATAACTGAAAGGTTACAAATGGTTAATAAACGTATGAATTAATCGCCTAATCAGCTGTTATTATTATAAACATCATATTTGTAAGGGTGCAACTAACACATTTCCCAGATGAATTGATGTTTTGATTTATTAAATGTCAGAAAATAGGGAAAAACGTTCATCCAAGTCTTAAAATGTCTTGTTTCGTCAGAGAGAGAAGCAGCAGATCTCCAGATTTGGGACATTTCTGCTTGAAATATCAGCTGTTTTTGAAGATATCTGTCCGTCTGCAAATGCGTGAACGTCCGTGGACAAGTTCTACTTTCTGCTGTAAACACGACTCACTCACAATAAGCTCTTTGAGAGATAGAGCGTCTACCTGAGTGTGGGAATACGGAAACGCTCCGTGTGCAGGAAATCTCTCAAAGAAAGAAGTCTCTGTGACGTCTCTCTACGCCCTCACAGGCCTGCAGCTCAAAGAGGGCTTTATCCAGAGTGTGTGTGTGTGTGTGTGTGTGTGTGTGTGTGTGTGTGTGTGTGTGTCCCCACCCGTGTGTGTGTGTGTGTGTGTGTGTGTGTGTGTGTGTGTGTGTGTGTGTGTGTGTGTGTGTGTGTGTGTGTGTGTGTGTGTGTGTGTGTGTGTGTGTGTGTCCACCCCGCTGCATGCGTTCTTGTGCAGTTACGTCCTTTGCCTCTATCTCCTTATGACAACACATCTGAATAAACTTGAGCTGGGTATGGCCTGAGCCCTTTTAATGCCCTGCACCTGTCACACACACTGCTCACACACCCCGCTCACACACACACACACCGCATGTCTACCTAGGACAGTCTGAGGACACACACCGAGCAACAGTACAGGCAGAAGTACTTCTCAACTTAAAGTGGAGTACTATTAAAATACTCCATTACAAGTCAAACTCAAAGTAAAAGCAGAATGTCTCTTTTTGACCGTTTTATAGAAAATTATTATTCTCTTTAATCACCAATGCATTTCATATAGTTTTATTATTATATTTTGTCAATTATAAGACCATTTTAGTAACATTTGAAAATACTGTGTTGGTAGAGTAAGTAGTACACGACTGCAGCATATCATGTGCTTTTGTACAAAGTATCTAGAAACTATGAGTGTTAAATAATTGAGCAAAAAGTACAATATTTGTCTCCAAAATGTAGTAAATTAGAAGTATATGTAGCATAAAATGGAAATACTCAATAGTAGCATGTCCAAATATTACTCTAGGACAATACATGAGTAAATGTTACATTATAACACTGCCTTATTTTTCAATTTGCATTTATTTATACAAGACATACAAGAGCACATAAGCATGGACAGAAACACACAAGCACAATAAAATCACAATTGCAGATATTTACAGATACAAGAAATAGGCACAGACAGTCAGAAAAATAAAGATATAACCCCCAATCCAGTTTATAATAGAATACGTGATTGTCCAGTAACATGTTTAACAGATTTAAAGATTTTTCTAGAAGTTTTTTTACATTCCTCTTTGGTTTAGTTTTTTGTCCTATCAAGGATCTGAAATGAAAGTAATGGATTATGTAATATAACTTTTACTTTCCTACCATTAAGCAATCGCAAAATGCTGCAAATTGATAAATACAAGTACATGGCAATAAGAAGCACAGATAATGCAGAATGTGAGCGTTTAAAAGGTGGGAAGTAACTAAGTACATTTAGTCAAGTACTGTACTTAAGTACAATTTAGAGGTACTTGTACTTTACTTGAGTATTTCCTTTGTATGCTACTTTGTACTTCTACTCCACTACAGTTCAGAGGTAAATGGTGTACTTTGACTCCACTACATGTATTTAATACCTTTAGTTACTTCACAGATGTGGATGAATGATGTGAAATATAATAAAGTGTTAAATCAGACTTTAGTTCCACCTGGAGTAAATCCACAAGCTACCCTGCAGTATACAAAGTCATTCAAACTAGCTGCACCTTTACCAGCTTTGAGAACACTTTCATGATCAATCATTATAAAACATATCATATCTATTATTCTGAAATGGACCAATCTGCACAATGACTACTTTTACTGTCGCTACTTTCACTATATTTTGATGAGAATACTTTTCTACTTTTACTTGAGGAACATTTTGAATGCAGGACTTTTACTGTAACAGAGTATTCCTACACTCTGGTACTTCTACTTTGACTCAAGTACAAGATCTGAGTACTTCTACTTTTACTCAAGTACAAGGTCTGAGTACTTCTACTTTTACTCAAGTACAAGATCTGGGTACTTCTACTTTTACTAAAGTACAATATCTGAGAACTTCTACTTTTACTCAAGTACAAGATCTGGGTACTTCTACTTTTACTAAAGTACAATATCTGAGTACTTTTACTTTTACTCAAGTACACCATCTGAATACTTCTCCCACCTGTGTCCCACAGATCATCCAGAAGCCCTCTTATGACCTGAAGCAGCAGCTGGCCTCCTACTCAAAGCGAGTGGCAGGCTCCGTCACTGAGCTCATCCAGGCTGCAGAGGCCATGAAAGGTAGTTTAACCTTTGACCTCTGCCACAACACAAAGACAACAGAACCAAATGAAACTCCTCAGGGTGTCGCTTCCCGTCTCAATTTACCTCTAACAATGTTCTTATTGATTCGCCTGAATGGCACTGCATGTAGCTGGATATTTATAGGAACACACTGTTTAAGTAATATTCCTAATTTACAATATAACATATATTTGAATTAGATTGAACTGTATTGTCATAGTACTTATGCAATGAAATGCAGTTAAAGTCTAACCAGAATTGCATGAGAAGCAGTAAAGAAACATGTTTTTTATAGTATAATATAAGTGTTTTCATATTACAGATGTAAAAAAGTTAAAGTATTTACAGTATGAACTATATATTGGTATACACATTATAAAAAGTAGTCTAGAACTTAATATAAATGCACTATAATGCTGTTATAAATAAAGACAGTATATAGCATAAACCTGGAAGTTAGCATCACAAGCGCTCCCTACTAAAATATATTGGATTTTGGTTTATTGCAGAAAATAACATAAAAGCAAACACACGTTTTGTTCATCACCATAATCTCCACATATTAACACCACTTTGATGAATTTTGAAATACAAATGCAATCAGCAGAAGTGAAAAAGCTAACATTAGGCTATAGAGGAACTGCAGCACCGCTAAGCTAAAGGTGGCTAATGTTCGGGGTGATGAAGTTTAGTCGTCTCATTAAGTCATTAGTTACCAACCGCTGGTTTTATGACACATAGAAGCTCCAGACATTCACCAGTGGGGTATTTACCGATGTATTTAATGTTTAAGAACAGCCATCTGACCAAAAACACGTTCAAAAAACCTTTGAGACGAGTGACAGGAAGTGGTAAAATGCTAACTCTTTTTGGGGTTAAATGACTCATCACTGCACCGCTGTATGGAAAGAATAATTATGAATACATTAAAGACCGTTTATGACACTTATATAAATAAAGTTTTATAAATAGAATAAGGAACTAAGAACAATGTGCAAAGTCAGCTACTGGGTAGTGTGTGTGTGTGTGTGTGTGTGTGTGTGTGTGTGTGTGTGTGTGTGTGTGTGTGTGTGTGTGTGTGTGTGTGTGTGTGTGTGTGTGTGTGTGTGTGTGTGTGTGTGTGTGTGTGTGTGTGTGTGTGTGTGTGTGTGTGTGTGTGTGTGTGTGTGTGTGTGTGTGTTGTTTAAGCCACTTGGTGTACATCTTACTGAGTATCAGAAAAGGCAGGCAGTAAATCACACGGCCTTGTAAGATGTGAGTGTTGAATAGCCCGGCAGCAGGTCTTATTTTGAACCCTGGCAGTCATTTTCAGTGGGATTAGTTCAGAGTCCCCTCAGAGTACTACAGTTTCTAACAGCGCGGGATACCCCCCCCCCCCCC